CAACATGAGTCTTGGTACTGCTTTGTCTGCCAGGGAGATAGAGTTGCTGTCATGAGACTGTGCATAAAGTGTGCATTGTATGTCCACGAAGAATCAAAACACTCCGCTACAGACCGCTGAGGTGAAAGAACGTGTCCGCTCGCCTCACTTCTGTCGCACCGCCCAACAATTCGTTGAGCAATCCGCACCTGCGCGCGCCGTAAAAGGTGCCGCCATCCTTTGTTCGCGAGCCGATTGTGTTGGTGCAATTTTTATTGCGCCCGCCATTTGACAAGCGATAATCCTAGTTTCGAGGTAGAATGTCGTCATTTCATTGTTCCTTAGGGAACTATTTATTGCACCGCCACCTGGCAAGCAATTATCTAGTTTCTTATTAATAACATAGCAACGTCTATTGTTTCCGACTTCGGGAACTGCGTGAAAGGAATTGTGAAGTGCAGTTTTCACTGCGCGGAGCAACTTCTTAACAGCGCAATTTTAAAAGGCTAGCGGATACCTAACGTTGATAACAAAGCTAGTCAGGCAGCCCCGTTCGCCTGCGTTTCCCCTTCAGGGAACCGCGTAATTCGGAAGGGACCTCCACCACTGGCCTTGGGTAGTGCCCTAGTCAACGTTGGTCCACGTTTGGCCTTTTAGAGCCCACGGGTAGCTTTAGTTAGACTTAAGTACACACCCGAGTGCACAATAAGATCGGCACTCGGACGCACTAGGGCTACACGTAGTAGGCACACATCCTCCCTGCTTAACCTGCAGGGAGGGAGCTAGGGATACACACCCCGGCATCCCACCGGGAGAATTTAATATATAGAGAATAGGTAAACCATATGTCCTAATGGCGGACCTAAATCTTATAGCCGTCCTGGAATTCCTCAGGGCTAAATTCCCTGACGCATTTAAGGCGCTTACCGCCGAAACCGAAGTTCGCGCAGGCCCATCCACTACCGACCCCATCAGCGATGCGTCGTTATCATCGGGTAGCGAACTCGAGGAAATGGAGCTAGACTCCCCGCTATCCCCCGAGAACCCGGAAGACACAGGA